ACTGGGGACATAATCTACGGTTACTACTTTGTAATATGATCTCATATACTCGACTAGATGATATTCTCGAAATGTTTGCATGGGAAACCACATAAAGTAGTCGCCAATCCCTAATTAATCAGGGTTAATTCATTATATTTCTTGTGTAGGTGGATTTGGGTAGAAACTCATGCTACCAAAGTGTCCTGAGAGTAAGCAGAGGATTACAAACTTACCACACTGTTGACATCGTGAGACAATCTGTAATATCTTGCTGATGAAAATGACTGAAGCATAATTCCAATACAATCTGACCCTTTGATTTTCAGGCATTCAATTGTTTGGTATTCTCAGTCAAACAATTTACGTGTTATGCAGGTGCCTATCTAAGACCATAAGGTTCCAATTGCTCCTTCTTATCCGTGCTGACCGAACCCGATCCAGATAATCAGAGAAACAGCTAATATAGGTAAATAGGTTCCCCGGGTAATGTTGAGTTCAAGGTCATACAGAATTTTTGAGTTCATATATTGTTTGATCCACCACAGGAGCAGCATTCAAGTAGCAAAGAAAACAAAAACAGACAATCTAGTAGTACTCCTGTTGAAAAAACCCATTGGATACGAACCGTATTATGGAGATTTGCTTCAGAAAGTGTGTTATTTCACTCTGATCCTAAAGAAGAGAGTAATGACGCTATAGTGATGGTAGGATAGGTGCATTGCCGATCGATCCCAATTTTCACGCCACCAAAGAAAGTCAGACAAAAAGGTCGAGTTTGACTGAGCCCAAAGTCATGGCGTGGTTCAGTGTGTAACTGTCAACCTTTGACTCTCTGCTTGGGTGGATTGCTGGAATCCCTGTAGATAGATATCTGGTCCCATCGTGTTGGGAATATTTTTATTAACTCTCAGCTATTGAAATCTTTCGTATAAACTGTTTATTTTATTGTTTGGGACGCTAATTTGTGTTAGAGGAACTTTCAACTGCATAGCATGAGCAGTACATTTTGAAGTATTTTCTATTTTGATATAATTTGTTCTATTCCCTAAATTAGAACCGTTCAAATTGGGCGCAGAATTTATGTTTTGATGTAATTTATTACGAGTAACTCAAAAACCGTTCGTATTCTACACAGAATAACGTAGTCTGGTCAAATCGAATAAGTTTGGGTTCGTTGGTTCTGCGTTCAGACCGAATATTAGCAGTTCGGTTGTTACACTATTGATCGACTTGTTGTCACTGTTCGAGAAGCCGGTGACTGCTGTTACAATCAGTAAGGGTGGAAGACTAGAGATCGAGAGCGAACATTGTACAGTGAAATATCTAAAATATGGTAAACGGTGAGTGCTGCATGTTTGTTCGATAAGAGAATATCGAAAATAACACAAGAAACAATGAGTGTCACTCTAGACTCATGTCATTAATACCAGTAAAAACGCTGTCAATGTTGGGATAGGGGCAAAAATTTTGTTTTCAGTTTGCAGAAGATTATCTTGACTGTGTGGACTGATGGTTCGTGTGAATGATAGTGTCGTCAGACCACCAATTGAACTGGATAGGTCTTAAATCGTCGAGTAGTTTTACAGCCGATTGATATGACGAAAACATCTGTTGGATAACAGCTACGAGGAAACAGTACATCATCAAGTGAAGTACGACGTTGAAGTTGAACAAGTACATTAGGTCCGATATATTATAGCGTCAAGTCGAAATAACAACGTTTTTACGTATACTGAGAGTTGCACTGAAAAATCATTTCGATATTGTTAGTGTAACAGTTGAACGTGTGAATACAAACACATACGAAGGCCATGGTGGGGCTACTGGAGAGTTTCAGAGGTCATTTTGATATTTTCAAAACCCTTATTGCATGTCAACACACTGAAAACGGAATTGAGATGACTTTCGTGTCATAAGAAATTCGAGCGATGAATTACCGTGTGAGATGACAGTAGATACAAAGAGTATTGTAAACATTGGTTAAAATGGTAACCACCAATGTAACTAAAGTTTAGAAGGTTCAGATAACGCGATCATTTAGTAAACGGCTGATGCAAAAAGGTTGTTGTCTAGCGTTAATTGACATATTACGTAGGACAAAGTGTCTGGTTAGGACGTGGAATAAGATTGCTCATGTACATGCAGTACATTTTTCCACAGCATAACGACTTACGAGTCATAAGTGTGCATGATTTCGACCAAAACCTGACGGCATTGACAAGATATATGACTACCGTAAGTGAAAGCAACTACGAAATGATTTTAGGCATTATAAACATAGTACGAAATAAGCAAATGCAAATGAAACTCGCCAGGGTTACACTCACTCTCAAGTAATGAAAATTCGAACTGACATTAATTTGAATCTGCATTAGATATGAGGTATTGTTGGTTAAATTTCCGGATTAGCACAGCGTTGTAGACTGAATTTGTATAAGTTCAAAATTAATTGAAGCCAAATACATTGTATTGCCTGACGAACAGTCTAAGTGAGATCTAAGATTGCAGGAAAGTTATATATCCCACTCACCGTAAATTCCTAGCATTCGTGTCCTTGTGCGCGTTGGTTGTTCTAGATATTGACGACGATCGATGATCTGTTCAGTGTTCAACGACCCAACTGCCGGATGATTTGGTTGGGGCTAAGTGACATTCCAATGACCCAACAAGCCCCATTTTGGACATAATAATTGGTCTTTTGCCTAGTCCTAAGAGCAAACCCTCTGATTATCTTTAACATAAATAACTTTAATAACGTTTTTTCCTACGTTACCACTGGATATCTTTACTTTATTCTGCAATCCCTACTTTCATATTACTATTTTTGAAAGCTTTATTAGTCAATCTTCATATTATTTCTTTCTGTTGATAATCATTTTTATTCCCTTGTTATAAAAGTAAAAATACCGATCAAACTATCTCCCGGTTCAGTCAGTCTTCAGTCTTCAGTAATAAGGATAGTAGGTTAGTGAACCTGTGTTAATCCTAACAGATTACCTTCCTGTGAAGGTCCAGTTTCTCTTTGAAAATATTCACTGATGGGGCTGATACCACTTGATCGGGCAAAGCGTTCCAATCATTGACTACTCGATGAGAAAAACGGAACCCCACCTTGAGTTTATTAGATCGTGGTTTATGAACCTTCTTGCTATGACCTCGGAGATTATTAGTGCTGGAGGGAGCAAAAAGATAAGACATACTAACACCCAAATCATAATTAAAGATACGAAATGCCAGTATAAGGTCACCTCGAATCCTACGATACGACAAGGGGAAAAGGTTTAAGCGTTTTAAACGCTCATCGTAAGGGAGTTTAGAAAGACCCTTCACTAATTTCGTTCCCACACGCTGGACACGCTCAAGTGAGGTAGTATACTTTATCAGACATGGGCTAGCTGCTTGAATACAGTACTCTAAATGTGGTCTTACATAGGTGGGATATAAAATTCGAAACATTTCCTCGTCAAAGGATTTGAACGCTCGGCGAAGTGACCATAACGCACGAAAACCTTTGACAGCGGCTGCGTTGCAGTGCGCAGTTGTTTTTAAATCATGACTTATTATTACTCCTAAGTCTTTATGTTCTTGAACGCATGGAAGAGGTTTGCCATCAATAGTATAATGGCAATTATTGCCGTGACCGATGTGCATTAGCACACTCTTCCTAGAGTTGATTTCTAAACCCCAATCTCGAGCCCATCTAACTAAATCGTCTAAGTCAGATTGAAGATCCAGATGATCTGCATCACCTCTTATTGCTCTCCATATTTTGACATCATCCGCAAATAATAATATCGACGACCTAAGCAACAGCGGTAATTCATTTACGTAGAGAAGGAATAGCAGAGGGCCTAATATGGTGCCTTGGGGTACACCACTTTTGACCGGCTTCCAATCGGATAGCGTCCCATTGACCCTCACTCTCTGTCTGCGGTCATGTAAGAAGTTTCCTATCCACTCCTGTACGGTACCTATTATTCCGAAGCTTGTGAGCTTCTGTATAAGACCTGAGTGTGAAACCTTGTCAAATGCTTTGCTAAAATCTATGAATATAACATCGACAGAACAGCTTCCTCTTTGTAGATACACTGAATTAAGACAAGTATATCTACATACCTTCAAAAATCATCTCATCAAACACAGGTTGAATTCTTTAGGACCGCTGAAATGGATCAATAGCATTAAGTAAATTTCCGAAATCAATAGTCTTATTAACCTGCAACACTGATGCTGAGCTCATTAGTTTTACTAGATACACTTTAGCTGAAGACAGTAGTGAATCCGCACCAGATCACCATTGGGGTACGGAGGTTAATCGACAGAAGTACTAAATTATCTGATTGCGGAGTTCCGTTTCGTGTTTATAAGTAATGTCTGGTCGCAATCAAACATGTGATCAATTCATATTATTAAGCCATTTACAACAAGTGTCCCGAAGCGTACAAAACATGAACATAATTTTCATGTGCAACCAGCGAATTAGCACATTACAATAGAACTATGAGACTATCTGTATTTTCGAAAGCGCACCAAATAGCCCCTGAAAAGCTAAGACTAGACAGAAATGAATTCCGTTGAATAATAGGTTTAAAAACAATCTGACAGTCAAACGATCCGCGAGCATCTGCTTTGCATATGGTCTCCAACAAAGATAACGTAACTTTGTGTCCAATGGGTGATTATCGGTGAATTAACACGAAAATCAACCACGATCTTTACCGTTGCCACACATCTATGACCAGACAGCTACCTTTAAAGATGAGTCTACATTTTCAAAAGCATACTTGATTAAAGTATATAACCAAAATCCTACAGCAGTGTGAGATACTTCTAGAAGGGTTATCGTCACTCAATTTGAATTTTACGAATTTTTATGTTCGCCTTTCTGACGCTACCTTTATTCTGTCAATGATGCTTAAATTTATAATGAACCTAAAGTGAAATAATCTTTTTATATTGTCCTACAATGAATATTTGAGGCATTGGTCAGTTGCCTGTTTCAACATATTTTCGGCACTATTTTCAAAGGATTTGGATACTTTGTCAGCACTCAGGGTCACCAGGTGGTTTTGGTTTTACGTGTTTGCCTACTGTTCATGCTTTTTCGCGTAAGAACTCTTAAAAACTCTCAGTTTATTTACATTATACCATCGGACGTGTGTGCTTTATTAATTTTCAATAGGTTAACGTGCTATTTTAAAATGTCGTTTGGATAGCTTTCCGCTGAATCTACTGGTGTTCCTTATGTTTTGTATTTCGAAAAGATTGAATGGTGATTTACCTATGTAGCGAACTACTGAGGTTAGTATACTTGGGTAAGGAGTGTTTCAATCGAGAGTCAGCGTTTGGAGTTTGAGGGTTAGTATAGCTATGCTTTAAAAGATGCTGAATTAATTAATAGGATCTACCCTAAAAACAGAGCGTTAATTTCCATCCTCAATGACCTGAATTTAGCACTAATTAGTTTACTAACGTTTCTAAAATTCCTAATACTTTGGAGCACCTACTAAAAGTTGCATTCCGATTGCTGATTTTTGATTATTTTATCTCAAAGCAACTCTCCAATTCGCTTAAAGTTGTCAGTATGGTAGTATTTATGTACCTCAGAAAGATTCCGTAGTGACATTGATAGCCCACCTACTTATTGAGGTCAAAATAAGATCATAGATTAATGTGAAAAATTAGGAATAGGTGCTAAAGGTAGGAGTAAGGGTTCATAAATTGTATTCCGTAATTCATGGTTTCGCGTTTCGAATATTGGAACTGAAGGGCGAAACATTGATTCTAATAGACTGAACTAGGTATGTGAGGTGTGAAATTTAAAGTCCGATTATTGTTGTTCATGGCTTATGTCTTTTGCTTTTAGTACTATATATTTAGAAAATTAATGTCATAGTCTCAAAATTCATCACAAAGTGCTGAACATATGTCTACCGATCGTGGTTCTGAGGTCGTTACTTGCTATGACTGTTCCGTGCTATGCGTTGAAATGTGAATCGCCAAACTGTATTTGCTTTATGACGTTTTCTAGAGTCTACTTGCGACTATCAATTTTGGTCAATAATTAAATTTTAGTCTCACCTCAACTCTACCTCTAAATTTACATTGTTTGTATTTCTTCATACCTTAAGTTTGTCTTCAAACAGCAGGGTACATGGCTTTATCAGTCAAAATAGATCATTTACGTAAATCAAAATAGAGAGCGGGCCCAGAATTTTCATCTACAGATCACATGATGATGAAGTGTCACTCGCTCTTATTCCTTACCTCCTTTTACGAAGTCTAACCTATTCTTTGATTGTATAATTAATCGTTTAACTTCATCTTAATGAAGTTCTGTATGATAAACCGCTATTGTAGTCAGTAGGTAATACTCTTACCTCAGTATGTCTATCTTTAGATTTGGCCTAATCTTTTATCCCATTAAGGTTACTTATGAATGTGTAATCTGCTAGAATGACAATGTTTTTCCCTTGCGAATATTCGCTCCCTTCATGCAATGCTCAATAGCAGAATGAATCATCCCCATCAGTTTAATGACTAAACTAGTAAGACTAATCCCAGTCTAAACTGGCCCAGTTACATTTTGAATAGTAGTGTCAGCGGTGTGGAGTCATATCACATAGAGCTCCTTTAATTCAAGAGTTTATACCGTCAGAACCAGTAAAATTGTTTAGTCTGAAGTGTTGAATTTGTTGTAAGACAACCCTTTACTCAAAGTGAGACCTATTTACCTACCGTAGAATCAGCTTAAGGAATCTATGTGATTGAGGAATAGTATTATCATCTCTCGCCGACCCTAATTATTTAGTATATAACCTCGATGTATTACTTCTCAAAATGTTCTTGACAGTAATCTTTTTAGATTAAGTTGTACTAGTTTTGAGGTTAGGTTTATCCGACTCATTTAAGTTGGTCATAACAATATTGCGCTCTCAAATTTCATATGTTTGTGTTCCTAGTATGTAAACAGGCAATAAATTTATCAGTTAAACCACCATCCAAACTAGAATCCTTTTATCATTTTATATAGAATACAGTAATTAATTTGATTTCCTTTCAGAAAATTTCAGTTTTATGCGTTTTCTGATGAATTTTCATCATATATATCAATTATGATATTTTTGGGTGTGTGGATCATTTAACACTCATAAATCTAATACATACATTAATAAACACGTTAAATCTCATATAGTAGGGCAACTTAGATTTCGGGTTCTTATCGATTGGTGTTCATATCATATTAGTAACTGCAAATTCATCTTTTTTAGTGTTCAATGTTGTTTTCTTGGTTAATTTCAGTGTTGTATACAAAATCTCTGTACTAAAGTCTAGTGTTCATTTTCTTCATCATAGCTTAAAATTTTGATGGACAGGTTAAATATTAAATCCTGGGACAAATTAAGTGCGCTTAGTCGTCCAATCACTTAACAGTTATCAGCCAATGTTCATTAGTGCCGCCAAATACTTAATTGCTTGAAAAACATATTTCTGCTACAACTTAAAGAGATAGTATCATGTATCTTCTCCTTTTCTGATTCTGCTTTATGGTTATGCTCTGATCTAATCGTGACAGAAACTATTTTCACAAGTGCGACCATCACATTTTTAGTTATTAGTTATCACGAGTATATTTATGTAGGTTATTGTGAGGTATTTTCAGTGGTATTTCTCGTTATCAACATATTTATATACATCCCACCCCATTTAAATCATAAAGGTTCTATTTCTTATTGGGAAAGTTGCAAAAAAGAAGTATATGAATATGTATAAACTTATGCAACATATCGTGTCCAAATATCAATGTCTTCAACAATCCAATAATCTTAGGAAGTACAATGTTTATTTTCTTGGAATTTGGTTTAATTTTGTTTTAGAATCATCTGGTCACTCTGTGTTGCAAGGTCAGTTTTCATTAAATCAGATACCATCAGTTGGCGGGATATGAAGTTCAATATTTGTTTTGTTTTGGGTGGACCGGGTGCTGGGAAAGGTACAGTATGCCAGCAAATTGTGAAGGTCAGTAAACCTAGTTTATTTGAATTTACTTTTTGTACGGCGTTGACCACAACCCACATAATTACATGGCCCAGTCCAGTAGCCAATGTCTTCATGAATTGATATCACGTTTTAGTTTGGCCACAACTAAAGTTTTTCTAACCTGCTTTGTTAGCAGACACTGTTTGTGGAGTTAATCGGTGGGTGGGGATACGTAATATATATCCTAATCATCTCAGTAGATAAAAATCCACTACCTAGTCAATGGATTTACAATATTTATATCATTTACGATTATCAACCTTTGACTAAGATTATCGTGGAGATCCTAACTAGGAAGTATACATATCTATATGTATGTCACTGAGATCATTAGTTAATTTTTTATCATCTAAACAGAGATTTGGTAATGATGGCCGACTTACTATTTGAATTGTTCATTTACAAATAGTATGATTTTGTAATATTTTGCTTCCGTACTACGTTTTTAAAAATTTTTTCTATCTAACTTTTATCAGGAATATGGATTTGTACACTTATCTGCTGGGGAATTACTTCGACAAGCTCGTGATTCATCAGATTCTGAATTTGCTAGTGAAATACAAGAACACATGAAAAATGGGACAATCGTACCGGCTAAAATTACCTGTGGTTTATTATATCAAGTTGGTCCAGTTTTTACTTTTGGTGGTTATTTCATGTACATTTTGATTATTTTAGACTGACAATTTAGTCAGTGTGTAGGTATTTTCCATCATAAGATCAAGCTAATTATATATACCACATACTTTTCTGATAATGCTCTGGTTACAAAAAATAGATTGTCGAATGTGCATTTTTCGCCTGATATATTTTGTAGAGTTAATCGCGGCCAAAACAAAACGTGTGACTGTTGGATTAAACCTTGTTGGCAGATACAGATACCTGGTTGTGATCATCTGAATCATTGTAGGCAACTTTCGGAAGTGTTTGGTAACATAGTTAAAGAAGTGGTTCACATAGATTCATTCTTTGTAATTCCTTAAATCTTGAGTTATTATTTTATAGTTTTCATCCGGCGAATTAGTTTTTTCTTGAACCATGTTGTTTATTTCCAAAACGTGCATCCTGTTAGTCATCATCTATCTCTGCTTATGTCGTGTACGAATGATTGTTGCATTCGTTAAATATTTTTTTATTGGTAAAAAAACAGATTGTTTGGTTCAATCATGAGTTTTGTTTTGTTGTGTGAGGTTAGCGTAGTTACTGACTTGTACAAAATTTATTTACTGACTCATTAACCACGTACAGACTTGTTTACTTGACTTGAAGCCACACTCTAAATGTAAAGGTTAATGATACCACTTACCTGCTTTTCAAACTGAATTGTTTGGACCGGGGTTTAGACATCCTATTTAAGAACTCAGGGTTGAATGCCTTAATCACTGAATCATTAATCAGTGGAGATTAGTTTGATTTGAAGGTGATATTCGTTATTTTATTATTTTTTTTGGATACACAATATAATATTTCTATTTGTAGGCAATGCGAAAAAATTCTGAAAATGCTAATTGTACGAATTTTCTTGTGGATGGTTTTCCACGTAATAATGAAAATCGTTTGTGTTGGGAAAAAGATTTAGGCCCTCATACAATATTAAAAAATGTCATTGTTTTGGATTGTCCAGACGATGTAAGTTTTGATTTGTTTCATTATCATTAATCTAACCAACTATTATGGTTACTGTAGGGTTTTGTAGAGATTGTTGAATTTCATTGTTTACTTCATGGATTGATTTTAGTTGGATGATCACTAAAAACGTGGAGGCGTTGAACAATTTTTTTTCCTATTATGTAACCCCTTGACAGAGCGTACCCACGAGCTCAGGACCTTTACGTATCTCAGCGGCGCCTAACTTCTAGACCACTTATTCAACATCCAATGGTTTTATGTGCCCCCAAACGCACTGGTATGGCCGAGAGTGGGGTAGGTTCGCCCTCCCTCTCGAAATACTCTCACACGGCCACGCGTATACAGCCTCTGCAAGGGAAGTCCTACTCACTGCCTTCTCGTGGCGGGGGTGTTGTTTACTAAAATGAGGACGAAAAGCGAATGTCCGGCGCTATAACCGGATCCCATATCAGTGGTGCACATGGGCTCCAGTATCCAGCGGGAACAAATGGCGTATGAACCAATTTTTGGTCACCGGCTACCATGGGACTGCATCTCCTCACGATGCTCCACTGCCTTGTGGACTAGACCTTCAGGTCAAAGGCTCGGGGTGTGGCCCCCTAAGAAAACCACCTGCTTCTGTCTGGGCACCCGAGCAGTATCCCAGCCCACGCACTAAAACATGATGAACTATTTACTTATGGAAAATATTCTTTTCGCTCCGATTTACAATGAATTGACTCGCACCACTATTATTATTATCATTGTTATTATTATTATTTTACCACGTCATTTATTCACTCTCTCTTATTCCCACTTTATGTATCCGTTTCGACTTATACAGCAGCTCGCCTATGGTGGAAATTCGGCTGTATCTAAACGTTCTCGAGTCACTGCCTGTTTGAAAATTGTATGTTACCACCGAATATGATAGGGCTGGCTATGTCTTTGGAAAGTCTTAATACTGACGTTTGTTGTCTATCCGAGACCCGTATTCAAGACTCTGGTAAAGTACTACAAGTTCGCTCTCCATCTGTCACTTCAAAAAGCTTGTTTTATGTGCGTTTATCCGGGGACCCTGTGGCATCTTCGTCTGGTCTTGCTGGCGTTGGTGTCGCACTAAGCGCTAGAGCTGAGGCAGCACTAATCGACTGGATCCCCATTAACAGTCGGTTATGTGCTGTTAGATTAGAAAGTTCCATCAAAGTGCCACCTGGCATCCCCCGTCTGCATCTCAAGCCTGGACTCAGATTGATCACATCGCGATCAGCTACCGCTGGCGTTTGTTGTGTACAAGACTGCCGCTCCTTTTGGAGTACCTATCTGGAATCTGATCATGCCCTGGTCTGCGCCAATCTTACCTTACTTTTCAGTGGACAACGAAGTTTCTGCCACCAAAGGATTGACGTTAGCAAGCTAGCTTCTAGGCTAGCTACCATTCCACCGAAAAGTATCGATGAGCATTGGTTGCAATTGCATGACGCCATGAAAATGGCGGGTACAGTCTGTTGTGGGTTCGCGAAACGTCCCGCTTATAAGCACTGGGTTTCTTCTGGTTCCTTACAACTCATCGAAGCCCGTCGATCTACTCCGGGTGACCGTGAGTTTGACCACAAACGAAGGATGTTACGTAATGAAATCGGGCAAAGCTTGCGTAAGGACCGAGAAGCCTGGTGGTCGGAGCGTGCCAGTGAGTTGGAAGCAGCAGCTGCATCTGGTAATTACCGAAAGCTCTTCCAACTCATCCGAGCCACTTGCATCAAGAAGTCTGGTGTGAGCGAAACAATCTGCGAGGATGTCGGAACGCCAATCACTAACATCCATCGACGTCTTGGACGATGGGCAGAATTCTTTGAAGGGCAGTTCAACTGGCCTGCTGCTCCGGCAACATCGGTCAGACTGTCCTGCCCTTCATGGCCGGTGACGACTGATCCACCAAATGAGGCGGAAGTCCGCAAGGAACTCCAACTCTTGAAACGTTACAAATCACCGGGCCCAGATGACTTACCTCCGGCTCTTTTTAAAGATGGTGGTGACTTTCTGACTAAGGGACAGACGACGTTGTTTACAAAGATCTGGGAACTAGAGAGTGTACCAACGTCATGGAATGAGTTGATAGTAGTCCTTATCTTTAAGAAGGGTTCACGTCGTTCCTGTAACAACTATCGGGGGATATTTATTTATTTATTTGAACACATAAATATTGGTACAAGGGGGCACCAAATATATATGCGCCACACAAAACAATAAGGATTTAAAGAGAAGGAAAAAATGTAAGGAACGTAGGGAATTATAAAAAAAGAGCGAAAATGAGGGAAACGAAAAGGTACAATCAGAGGAAATCTTACAATTAAGAAAGATACAACCACTCTTTACGAAGGAATTAAAAGAAGGTTACAGCAGGATCGCCACTGGCTTCTATTTTGAGCCATATCTGATAACCTCTCTAGCCATTGTGTTACATCATCTCTCGAACCCCAGCCAGGGAATCGTGAAGGATAAGTCTACTTCTGATTGCGTCCAAGCTATTGGCTTCCGTATACTTCGTAGGTTGTTCAAAACCCGAGAAGGATTGACTCGCGAGGAGCAGGCTGGGTTTCGTTCTGGTCGAGGATGTATCGATCATATGTTCACCCTCCGCCAAATGTTAGATCACCGCCATACTTATCAAAGGCCAACAATCGTAGTGTTTCTTGATATCAGGGCTGCCTTCAATTCGTTGGACAGAACTGTTTTATGGGATTGTCTATTGAAGAAGGGTGTGCCTGAGAAGTTTATTAACATCCTAAAAGCCCTATACACAAACACCTCAGGCAGAGTGAGGGCATACAACCACCTTTCTCCACTATTCCATTCGAGCAGTGGGGTTAGGCAGGGTTTCCCAATCTCACCGTTCCTCTTCAACTTGGCCATCGATGACATTCTGGAAACAGCTCTGATGGATGTAAGTAATGATGGTGTGGATTTGTTGCCTGGGGAAAGACTTCTCAACCTTGAGTATGCGGATGATATTGTCTTACTGTGCGATAATGCCCAAGCCATGCAATCCGCACTTAATCAGTTGGCAATCAGTGTCCGTAGGTATGGTATTTGCTTTGCACCTTCGAAGTGCAAATTACTTCTACAAGACTGGCAGGATTCTAATCCTGTACTCACTGTGGATGGTGAGCAGATAGAAGTAGTCGAGAAGTTTATGTATCTAGGTAGCTGCATAAGTGCTGGTGGTGGTGTGAGTGATGAGATCAATGCACGTATAGTGAAAGCCAGAGCGGCTTATGCCAATCTGGGCCATCTTTGGCGCCTTCGTGATGTTAGTCTGGCTGTAAAAGGTTGGATCTACAACGCGTCGGTGAGAGCAGTTTTGCTCTATGCTTGTGAAACCTGGCCTCTCCGAGTTGAGAATGTTAGACGACTCTCTGTGTTCGATCATCGCTGTCTCCAAAGGATTGCTGACATTCAGTGGCAACACCATATTAGTAATGCAGAGGTTCGGCATCGTGTGTTCGGGCACAGAGACGATAATTCCATTGGTGTCACCATCTTGAAACACCGACTTCGGTGGCTTGGACATGTTCTACGAATGTCGTCCCAGAGAATTCCTCGTCGTGCATCATTTGCCGACTCTGGGGCTGGTTGGAGAAAGCGGAGAGGTGGTCAGTTTATGACATGGTGTCGTGGTATGAAAGAAAGCTGCGAAGGGCTGGCTTGTGTTGGTCCTTCACGACTCACTGTCTGGGGTTCGAGAGATGGTGTAAGACAGTGGCTATAAACGTTATCAGATATGGCTCAGAATAGAAGCCAATGGCGATCCTGCTGTAACCTTCTTTTACTTTCTTCATAAAACGTGGTTGCTTCTTCCTTAACTGAAAGATTTCTTCGGATTGTACCTTCCCGTTTTCCCCATTATTGTTCTCTTTTTTTTTATAATTCCCCACGTTCATTACATTTTTTTCTCTCCTCTTCAAATTCTCATTGTTTTGTGTTGCGCATATATATTTGGTGCCGCCTTGTACTAATATTTATGTGTTTAAATAAAATAAAATAAAATGGTCTTATGTAAAAATAACATTTGTAATGTCCCAATGAGTAGAAAAATTAGTTTTTCTTACGTTTCGTAACTCAATGTACGCGACTTCTTCAAAGAATTAATAACGAATTTTGATTTGGTTATTTATTTTCTGAAGAAGTCGCTTGCATTGAGTTACGAAACGCCAGAAAATCTAATTTTTCTACTCATTGGGATACTACAAATATATTATTTTTAATGATAGCAATCTACTCAATGCTCAATTTATTTGAAATTATCAATTCAAACGTTGGTAATGATACATACATCCAATGATTTTCATTATTAACTTCAATTTGTAACATTATGCAACCATACTCCAATTGACTTGGTGAGCAATTACCTCACATTCTTTAGGGTTGAACTCTACCGATTCAACGCATAATATCATGCTCGATTCCTTCATGGTAGTTATTCATTCGCTAGCCAGGATTTTTTAATACTGAGCATGTGAAATATTCAGCATAATCTCCAGACCGATTGTTTTTCATGGCTGTAAATCAATTTTTAGCTAATCTTGCTACTTGTTCCGTTTCAGAATTTTGAATATTCACATTTTCAGATAAAGTGGGTAATTTCATTCCTTTTGAAATTGAGTAAGAAGTATTTAATGATAAAATATGGGAATGTACTGTCTAGGATAGCGAATAGGAGATATGAATTAACTACCTTAGTTGACTGTTAGATATTAGAAGTATAATTGGCCGATGAAACTGGGGATTGAAAAGTATGGATTGATGCAAAACACTTTAAGCCAAAAGAAAGGTAAGGAATAATCCAAATAGGTCGATTTCGGATCATGTTACTCAACGTCTCTAAGCACTGATTACAATTATCTAGGAATCCCTATCTGATATTTCATAATTACCTACTTGGTTTAGTCAAATTATTAATAACTTCTTAGTCCATTGCATTGTCCTCGCTTGAACAATTACAACACTATCCCAACATATTCCTATATTATCCAATTCAAAATGATACAATTGCAAAATTCAGAAGGCACAAATAATCTACTATTTCGACAATTATTACGTAAGTGAAACTGGTTTTTATATACGCAAAATGTAATCTCCATGTAATATTTAATTAACTAATTTGTTTCTTCAGGTATGTATCCAGCGTTGCCTTGGACGAAAGTCGAATCGAGTGGACGATAATGAAGAAACATTAAAGCATCGGTAATTCTCTCATGATAGCTATATTCTGTTAAGATGTTACGTGGTTTCAGGTAGCCGACTGTAAAACTTACTGGAAGTGACTTTACATTCTACTGTTTTGTGAGTTGTTCATGATTTGTGTTAACTGAATAATTCATTAACCCTTATCATTGGCGACGAGAATCCATAGGGCAAAGTGAAGTGCGCCATTTTTAAGACTTAGTTTTCTAACCACTTCTTATTGTAGTAAAATGAAATTGCTGCAAATGCTGATTGTTTATGGGCAACAACTTGAGGCCATCTCAATCTAGTACAGTATGATTTACCCTTGAACCATGAGTTTGCTACTTTTCCTTAAAATGATTTCTTTCAACCAATCGACTTTTTCGTTCCTTACTAGTTGTTTCATGGATATTAGTAAATTATAACTTAATGTGTTTTTTATTTCAATGATTGATGAACATTCCAGTATAAAACAATTCAAAGAACAATGTATGCCGATTATCGAATTCTATGAGGCACAAAATTTGGTGACCAGAATTAATGCAAATAAGTCTATACCTGAGGTAAGATTTTGTCTTACGATTTTCTGACTCTATTTTGTGTGGAAATCATGTTAATAATTTAGTGAATGTGTTGCTATAGTAGGCTTTCAGTAATATTATTCTCTTGCATATATTGAGATCTAAATATTGTTACTTCAGATATTCTAAACCGAGTCAAACCACGTATTCCCCGACATTAGCGTTAAATTTATTATACAAGCTTAGTTGTAATTAACATGACCGTCTGTGAAGTAATGGACAAGAAGTCTTCCTATCTGTTTTAAACAAAGATGAATGGTGACTAGTAATGAAATCTAGGACACGCGTTTCGCCCCATGTGGGACTCGTCAGTCGGATGTACCTGCATCCCAGATTTCATGTTCACTCTGGGCACCGAACGCACTAGCCTACGCTTCAAACACCATCGCGTTATCCACTTAGTTGCTGAGTCCAGACAGCCACTAGCTCTTGCAATGAGGTGAAGTTTATTTCATTTTTGTTTTGATTGTTTGAATCTTCCCACTGATTTTGAGGACTGCAATTGATCCATCTCTGTTTATAACGCATGTGACTTAAGACAATATCGAAGCAAGCCGAACTGAATGCCAATAATAGACTGATCAGTCGTCGTCCTAAACAATAATCAGGAGATTCAAACAACACAAAAATGAGTTTTTATATCTGGTTTCGAACTATATGAAAGTGGTCGACTACACGCAATCGTTTTACAGAAGGAATATTTCGGAAATTTTGTATTTTAGTCTGTTGCTCTCATTATAATTGTCAAATTTATCGACAGATTCCATCGTCAGAATATTTATGGTAACTGAACAGAGGTGATTGGCCGGAGCGTTTCATGTAATAGTGAATCCCTCTACCATCCTCGCCGCGAGAAGGCATTCCGTGGCAGTGGTTGTACGCACGCTGGATAATTGATCAGAAAAAACCCCTTTATTAATCCACGTTTTTACTGGATTAGAGAACGACTATGGAAACTAAGGTATTATTCTGTCCTTGTCGGCTTTCTATATACAAAATATTAGTATTATTAATAGTCATTATACTTTTTGTACAAAACAGAAATCTCAGGACAAAGTATTTCGATAAGTTTTCTTTTCTTAATTCTTGATCGACCCTGACGATAATTATTGAGTGATTACCAATTAAATGTTAGTAGTTAAGGAATCGACATCTGAATATTGTACATTACATTGCCAGCAACCACGATATCTCTGATCGAGCTTTTTCGTAACCTGCACAGCGAAGGGTTGTAAACGCACAAAAAACAGATTTTTTGAAATATTTAGATGGAAGGAACAGGTAGCCAAGACTTATACACATAACTACACCATAAGCGACCGGTTTTGTTTTTCGCCGAATATGTTTTACAATATTATAGGATACAATACTTCTTGGTATTTCAACAAATATTTTTACGAATAAAGAACATCATTAAAGAATATTTCTTTTTCACAGGTGTATGAACAAGTTCGACAAATGATGAAAACCTTGAATATCGTCAGTTGCAAATGAAGGACATAAAAATCCCCTTAATTAAACTTCTGTATTTGTATTTTACAAATTAACGCTAGCTGTATTTGTTATGATTTGATTCTCTCTCTCCTTTGTTAAAAAATTGACAAAGGTGTTGCATAATTATCACTATTTTATAGTTGATTCGACATAAACAAACACATCCTGCACTGATTGTTTCTTATCATCGACTCCTAGAAAGTCATATAAGTCATGATTATTTTTCATTTAAAAAAAATTATTTCAGTAGCAGAACTATGCGAAAATGAAGTATTGGTGTAAAATTAAAATTATTAATTTCAAATTTTTCTATTTATATTCAAAGAAAGTATTCGACTTTGATCATACTTTGTCAGTTATAACACAATTTATTTCTTTGTTTTACAGAAATAAATGCGATTTCCTTGTCTTTATATTCTTTGTACACACCCAGGCTCATTATTTAAACTATTGAAATTTCTAAAATCTCTACAAAACCCCTTTTGATAATAATGAAATATATTGCCTAATGATGAGCTGTGCAAATTTTTTAAGTGTCATTTCATGCACAGCTTTGTAAATTTTGTTTTTTTGATGGATACCTTATGATTATTTCAAATTCTGAAGGACATAAAGATGTTTAATATGAACGGAAGCTACGTGTTCTAGAGAGCTCGTCGACTTATCTTCACAAGAATAATCTCCTTAAACGATTGAGAGAAGGTAAGAATTCGAGAGGAGTGTGACATGTCCCAAAAAGTCAATATTGTAATACAATTTTATATTAGAAACAGCCATGATTTTTGAACCCCCAAAGTGATGGTAACCGAGATCGGTGTTGTAATATCAATTGAGGAAAAGTCCCTGATGGTTAAAAAATAAAGAAACTAAATACTGCGAGGTCTTCCTAGTTATTATGCGTATTCCAAAAAAATACCACAATGAATTTCAGCTCCAAAAGATTGAATTCATCAAATTTCATTTTGTACGTAATTCCAGACGATGGATACACGATAGGATAAAATGTCCCGATTTAATTTTAACAAATATCGTACCTCCACCCACTCGTCTCCCTGAAAATCAAGACTCATATTCTTAGTATGTCGGAAAGAAAATGCAATCCAGTAATTTCATATTAATTCCCTAAAAAGACGAAAGCTTTTGAATTATCTGAATGTAAATTTAAACCAATAGCCAGATCTGATTTTATAAATTTAACCACATTTGAATTGGAAGTTTAGTATACTTGAATAACGGTGTTTACACGTTACATACATCACTTCTGTTGAAATATCATTATGGATAATTTGAAAATCTTATTTTCATGAAGTCATTGGTCTAGCTACTAATAAATCTGTCCCAATATAAATCCATCCATCTAATAATATGTGGGATTGTAAAATACTTGATTGCAGTGTTGTGGATTTGCATGCAAATAAATTTTAAAAAGCACCAGCAGTCCTAAAACTAATGAAGTAATGATTACATCTACTAAGCCCAGTGTCATAAATATTTTTTTGAAGAAATTTATAGACAATTAGTGGTGTAAATTATCATTTATCCGTATAGATTTTGAACTAGAAAATTGTCTCTGAAGTGGATATTATTTAAAAACTTCTGGCTGCATATCGCAAATAGGAGAGAGTTATAGTCTACTGCGCAGATGTGTATGAACAATAAACACAAAAACGTATATGTATAGTCGACTTATGAAATAGATTGATCCATCTATTTCAAAACAATATGACATGGCATTAATAATTGAATGATGAACTCAAAAACTAGTGTTTTCCACAGCTTTTCAGTGACTGCTAGGAATAAAAATACAGTCAGGCTAATGTTTACATTATAGAAGACTAGCAAATTTCTTAGTATATCCATAAAGCACATACACATAGGATGAAAATACAGAAATTTGTTAAATTACTAACAGCCAAAATTATTTGTTATAACTGATAAAGATACAGAGCTGTCCTATGATTATTTGAAATACACTTACCCATCCACACAGTGAATACTTGAATCCAGACAATGTGCCATCAAAGCTACAGGCGAACAAACATATTTTGTGTTCCTAAAATATCACTGCAGTCAGCTGACCAAATTCTATCGAAAATGTGTAGGCTTACGGAGAATTTGATGTCATTCTGTATCGACCAAACAGAACATTCACTGTAAACGGTAGCCTTTCACAATAAAATCCCGATGAAGCAACACTGATGCGACTTTCATTCATCTATATGCTGACTTCATAAAATCATGAAACCGAGTTCTTTAGCTACGAATCCACGTTACACCTATCTAACCAAACAACTGACGATAAGCAATGACCACGAAAGTTTATACCTAATAGCTAGTCAGAAGACGAACACACCCAACCAACATTTTAATATTGATTCAAACTTGTAGGATTATAAGCTTTGAGAACATGGCAAAAATGCACGAGGAAAATCACAATTTATATACAACTAAATCCTGAGTGACAAAGGAAAGCTTTTAATATCAAAATAATATAAACAAAATTTATGAGACTACGCAGTAAAAATAGAGATAATAATTCACTAAATAATAGTCCTAAATTACACCTTCCTCAATCATACGCTGTATCAAACAGATATCATGAACAATTGTAACTGTATAATTTGCTAAGCAATTTAGACTACAATATCATACTAGAACAAAACGACATTCATTCGATGTCTCTGCAGACAAGCTGCTCATTAATTTTTCTACTCATATTATAATTTCTTAATATACATTCCCAGTTAGTTGTATATATTTTTTATCTTCCTTCCTTGTCACTCATTAGAACGAATATCTCACAGTGAACAATGACAAACAACAAAAGCAATTGGTTACTTCTATCTATTATATTGAGGTGTAACAGCATGAAATGAAGAATTACAACTATAAGAAATAAAATAACTGGAGAGACTTTTCAATATATTTACTTCGTAATTGGTTATCATCCAGCTGAAGATCATTATATTACTACGAGCAATCAAACACACTTTAGAATACATGACATTTTGTAACGACGGATTAAAACTTTAATATTGTCTTAAATTTTAAAAAATGCAGTAAGTAACTGCATTTTATCTAGAAACAAAAATTAATTAAAGATAATTATATGAGAAGGGTTTTGTGGATATTATAGTAATTTCAATGGTTAAAAATTATGAGTTAGTTGAAGCTAAAACACCATGTAAAACCTGGAAGCACTGGACGGCTGTTTCGTCCTGCTGTGGGACTCCTCAAAAATATGACAAAACGTCCATCCAGCGATTCAAGGTTTTTCATGGTGGTCTAGCTTCAATTGACTCGTGATCTTAACCATTGAAATAATTTTATGAGTTCAATAAAAAGTAAAAATGTGTTTGCGCACAAATACTTTGAATTTACTACATCGTAACAAATAATTTCACCTGAACGTTTTAAATAAAATAAACAATCCAAAGCTACTACACTTGTCAGATTCAATTTTGAATTATGAAACTAATTCAAACTACCAATTAAAATAATTATCTGTATAAACAAAGACAAACTATATTGTACTTCATAAATGATTTCGTTACTATATGATAATTATAAATAAAGACTAATATTTTTTCGTTAAATGACACTTTTTAGTCCTAAAACAACTTTGACGTAAACATTGATAATTTCCATACTACTTTTGAAAAAATTCCCTAATTGTGTGAAATATGAATCTCATGAAGAAAAAAACTAATATTTAAGAGGAATTATCCTTTCTCCAAGAAACACTACTCGAATGTATAACACAAGGTGATAAGATTGTTATGGGGATATCAAACGAAATTGGCACTAATAAAATAAATAGTTGATTGTGTGAAATATGGGCGATCCTGATATTATTTTTTAGTATATCTTTCAAGAAAGTCATTCTTTAAGTGACTGTCAATTTTAAAGTAAGCAAAAGCTTTGTACAGATATATGAGGAAAACGGCCTATACGAAGCACTACCATGACGTCTTAAAAAGCAAGTATAATGAACTCTACAATCAAATCATATCCTAATGATGCATTACATAATGCACAGCTGAAATAGGAGCAAAGTAAACGGTATATTGGAAACCATAGCAACCAAAATAAAAGTAAATCCAAACAGCAGAAAAACAACTGGATACAATCCCGTTACGCTATGTGAACTTATGTCAATCAACTGGTTGTAAATCAACTATGTGTATTGAGCACTAATTACGAATGTAATGCAGTGACAGTTTTTCGGTGGTACTGCCAAACCAATGGAAAATACTAACTGATCGTTGTACAAGTTAGGCCAAATAGCGACCGATGAACGAGAATCCAGGAGATGCGTTTGTTGATTTTTAAATCCACCCTGTCAATTATACACAGAAAATGACTTTTCTCAAGAAACCCTAGTGAGAATTTCTATGCTGCAATCAAAATAATAAACCAATACTATCAAAAGTTTACCATAATTTTCTGAATAATTGTGACTGTTACCCAGAAAATTTGAAAACTTTGATTTTGTTCAACTTAAATTTTTCAAATAACACAGCTGATTATGATTCTAGGTCTTAGCATTTTGAATGTTATCACCATATAATTTTCAATACATCGTTATTTACTGAAAATTTCGTTCGGTCAGCCCACATACACAGGCCGACAGGTAGTATGAAATCTATGTGAAGAAGAACCTTTCAACAATAAAAAGTGTTAACAGAAATGATGAAGTAGGTTTATGTATAAAAATAATTTTTCAAAATTAAATCCAAAAATACCCAAATTAGAAAAATAGAGTAAAAAAAACATACTCATATAATTGGCAGTTTAGAAAAATAAAAGGAATACCTGAAACGATAAAATTGTAATACACATGAACAGTAACTAAGAGAAACTTGCTTCGAATTGTACTACTATTCATGTGTACGAGGATGAAAGCACAGCTGTTGGTAATGAATAAATGAGATGACTTAGATTTACACATATCAATATCTGTGTTAATTATCGATGATATTATTATGCATTTTTAAAATGTATATTGTTTTGACAAATATATACATTAATATTATGGAAATAGTAAAGTTCTCACTGTTTTACTGAATGAATTAGATACCTTGTCTATCTGAATACAGACAGAAACATATATGTATACATGTTCAAGTGATTTTCTTGATAGATAATAAATGCAACTGATCGCTACTTTCATTCACACCACGATCATCATCATTATATATAGCAATAATAATAATAATAATAATAATGAATAATATCAACAATAATGTCACCTATATGAAACCAAACCGACGTAATATTCAATGTATTAAGTATCTAAATAAAAAGAATTGATAACACCTCGAGACTAATCATAGCAAAGAATGAGAAAACTTAACTAGTCTTTCTTTTTCTTTTTGTTCAAAATAATATATAGCTAGTTTATTTTGTGAAGATAATTATTTCTTTTTTACAAATTATTAAAACCATGCACTACTAAAAAATTGACAGGAGCATATATCAAGTACATTCAATTTCTTTTATACATGTATATATAGAGTGCAAACGCAGAAGGTAAACACAAGTGGGGTTTAATTGATTATCAGTGTTATTCGATATATCATTTAAGAAACAGCAGTTCGTTTATAAAAAAAGATTGGACGGGAATACATTTCTCTTTGAGCATGAAGAAAGAAATATAAGCCCAACAAATTAGGAACAAACACAAACGAGACACCTATCGGAAATCAAGACAAACATCATCATCAAATCAAACAATCAAGAATAATTTTTGTATACACACACAGACATCACTCCACATAGAAAAAAAAAAACAAACACGATAAAAATAACATCCAACACGCAAAAGAAAGAGGGGCATGTAAGAGATTTTAGACAAATAAATGAATAGGAAATGGA